CACTGATCCCTGAGATGACAGGGAAGACAGGCTAGCTGTTTGACTGCCAGGCAATCCCCCACTCTTGAAGAATGGTCTGAAGCACAGCTCAAAGCCTCTTTACTTGAAAGTAAGGCCTACTGAGTTCAGTGGGATTTATTTACTGGGAAAGATGCTGAGCATTGCTGTCTCAGTCAACCACAAGACATATATGCAGTTGGCATTCCTAGAGCTGAATCATTTTCTGTTTCTAAAATATTATTACCTGAGTGGGAGCCACTGTGGTGTGCTGGACTGGAGACTTGGGAGATCGGGGTTCTAGTGCCCATTCGGCTGTGAAGCTCACTGGGTAACTTGGGCAGTTGTCCTTACAGGATTGTTGTTATGAGAATAAAATGGAGCTAACCCTACCCCTGTGCTCCTCACAAGAGGAAAAAAGACAAGATATTGCTGCTATGTGATAGCAGCAGCAACAACTCATCAATTTTCATTGTGAATCACTTCCTGTAGCCAAGGGTACACAATCTCAGACTAAATCTGGCCCAACAGGGCTTCCAATTCAGCACTCTGGGACTCCCCAGAAGGCCAAGTTTCCTTCCCTTACCCACTTATTTATTTATTAAAACATTTTTATGTCGCCCCATTCGTCAGAGCCTCGGGGCGGCTTACAACATTAAGTTAAAAAATACAAACATTAAATTACACCATTAAATTAAAATGTTTGTAAAATACAAACATTAAGTTAAAATGCAAAAAATAACAATATAAAATAAGTCGCCCTGGCCAGATAAAATCCAATAATATTAACAATTAAAATGCCGCTTAAATAAAAAGGTCTTCGCCTGGCGCTGAAAAACAAATAACGACAGTGCCAGGCGGACCTCTTTGGGGAGCACATTCCATAAATTAGGCGCCACCGCAGAGAAAGCCCTCCTCCGAGTACCCACCCTCCTGATTTCTTTCACGGAGGGTTCCCGGAGAAGGGCCTCTCCAGCAGATCTCAAGGGGCGGGTGGGCATATATGGAGGTAAGCGCTCCTTCAGGCCAACCACCTATCATATGCTAATTTCCTGACCCTTTGCCCTTTTTCCCACAGTTTAAAAGGTTGGAATGCCTTTCCAAAGGCTTACTCGCAGTAAGAACTTTAAGCTAAAACATGGTGGCATTTGCTCTTTCTGCCAGTTTGGATTAGGGGCAAGCAGCATGTCACTCTGAGCCAAATCTTGTAGCTTTGGTTGTCCTAATAGGTTTAGGGAAGCAAGAAGGCTACTTGGGTATGCAGAGTAGAACCTGAGAGCCCACTAGAACCCAGGAACCTTCTGGCCTACAGCCATGTGGCAGCTGACCACACAAGCACAAAGCCAACTATTCTACATTCTGACCTCAGCAATCTGCTTGTGTCAATATTTTTGAGGTTTCCTATTTATCAGCTTCAGTGCTATTTTCATGCATCTAACCATTCAACATCTGGAACCAATATTGTATGACAAGTGAGGAAGTGATGGTAGTTGTATAAAGTAACCTTTCAAACTTGTGACAAGTGCTTTAGAAATTCACACTGAGACAGAAAGAGTGTGTGTAATTATGATTACATTAGAGATGCACATATTTCAAACACCCTATCTTGTCACTTTCCCCCTTAAGACTTTCTTGACTTCTGTATAATTCTGAGTATTAGCTGAAAGATGACAAGAAAAACACGAACACTGAAGATTCAGTAAAGAATAATAAAGCTAAAATTCATTAAAATATAGATCTAAACTTATAGATCACAGAGAAATATATTTCATATACCCATGACAAACATAATTTTATTAAAGTCACAATCATTAGCAGAAAAGAGGCAAACACACATCCAGTCAATTAAAATCTTCTGAAAACAGTAGCAAAAAGACATTAGTAGAGCAATCAAATAGAGATCTATTCAGAAATAACTTCCAGTAAAGTCAGTGTATGACTGCAACTCCCCGGGAGTTGTACGGTTTTCTTCTGTCAAAACATGCATAGGATTGCATCCAAAGAGCTGAAGCCTATGCAAATATAGTTAGAAAAAGGTCCTCCAATTTTAATAACAAACTCAAGGCAGCAATCCAAACTCACTACAAAGGGGAGTATTACAAATGCACAAGTTTTGATCAGTGATCCAAGTACTTGCCAAATTTGGTATTATCACTAGTCTTCAGTAGCATTATAAAGCTACCTTTTTTGAAGGGCTTATGAGTAGTATCAGAAAGGGATGAGAACGTTTGCCTAACTGATGATATGGTGATGGAGTGGTGGTTATACATTAGGAAAGGCAATCTAAAAGCAAACAACCTGGGGTCCTACTGTCACCACCATTATCTATCTATGCTGGTTTGATAGGTACATTTGGTTAAATGAAACTCTTACAGCCAGGACCAGTCTGCTCCAGCTAATAGACAAAACTATAGGAGCATGAAACATCATGCCTAATTACTATCCAAGGATACCACTCAGTAACTGTTGTCGGGAAATATGAGCAAGAGGATGCTTATGTCCAGCTTGTAGGTTTCCTGCACGTATCTGCATGGCCACTGCAGGAACAAAATGCTGGAATGGAGAGGCCTTTGGTCTAATTCAGCAAGTTTCTTCTGATGTTCTTACATACTGGTCCAAAGATTCTTTGCAAGATAGGTCCTCACAGGTCATGGTTTACTTTGCAGTGTGGTTGCTCACTGCTGCTATATTCAAATTATTGCTTAGTTTTGTTTTACATCTCTGTAAGCCACCTTGGGAAGTTGGGGTGTTTACTGGAGGGCAAAGGGTGCCCAAAAACATGAGACACACTTTTATTAAGTAAGTAAAGCTACCCAAAATGGATAAAATGATCTGGATATTTTTCCCTCCTAGAGATAGTCAAGTATTAAACTTCACGTGGAGCTAAACTTCTCAGGTATGAAACCCAGGTTTCCCACCAGTACTGGTACAGAAGTGTCCATCTCATGTGAAATGGTGAGCTTTAGTGGCCAAATGTCAGGTAAGCCAGACAAATAAAACAGCCTTGAAGTTGAAACAGGAAGCATTTTAATAGCTTTCCTGACCCATTCATATGGGTACATTCAAGCTCTGCTGGCTTGTTGGCTTTTCTTGGAGAATAAAGCAAGAGTTGAGCTCCAGACATTTAAATGTTCTTCACAGTTTGCTCATTATATGGCCAGACTGCAGTCAGTGCTGATAAGTAAGATACAGTCAAGGCGCAGAAAATAATTTTACGCAAGTTTAAAAGAGCCTTGATGTCTCTTGCCACCATCACCACCCACAAACCCCCCAGTGCACAACAGCTTGTGATTCTTCATATTTGGAGCATTTGAAATGAATCATTTGTGAACAATCTGCATGCCTGCAATTAATTGCTCTAGAAAATGGTGGGATCGTTTTGAATAATGGATGAGGCTCAGTAATTGTACGATCTGTTCACAGAGGACTTGCCAATAGAAAAAGGCGGGAAAGGGAGCTAAACAGCAACAAAATGAATCAGTGAATTCAGCACCCTGGGAAAAAAAACTGTCTGTATTCACATACAGTATAGTCAGCCCCCTCGAAATAATAGGCTGGGCATTCGAGATATTTAAAGAGGAAGAAGTTTATATAAGTTTCCTAGAACATCAGATGATTTATTGTACTGACTGTATTATGGCGTGTTGTAAACTGCCCAGACAGCTTCATCTATTGTGCATTAGAGACAAAAATTAAATAGCAAGCAACGAAGGAAGGACAGACGGACAGACAGAAGGGCAAAACTGGAAATGCTGGGATTCTGATGGACAAGAAATCTGGCTCCATCATCAAGCCTCGCCATAGATTCCCAGAACAATGCATGCCTCCACTCATTCACTCTCAGCCGTGCTGGGGTTGCTAACTGTGGTTCAATCATACACCACGATGGAATGCATGAAGGAACTATGTTTACATGGTCAATCGCCTTTGTCTTCCCTACCAAGTCTGCACCCTCTCTTCTAGCCAGAGTATTATTTATTTAAATGTTACATATTTTAAACAGTATTTTGAATCTTAAATTACACTCTTTATGGGAAGCCCCTCCTGAATTGGCTTGATCGAACTTTTCCAAAGGCTTTCAGTGTGTCACCTACATTATTACAGTAATTATTACATCTGTTCTACAAAGTCAGCCTGTATGTTGATGCCCATATTACAGAATATGCCTAGAATAGGGATGGCAAATCACAAACCTGGAGCCAATTGCAGCTCTCCTGAGGTTCCAGTCTGGCCCTGTGAAGTTTCTCGCCTTTCCCTGACCCAATCAGAATTCCCCCAACCACAAATCATTTTGAGATTTCCTCGATTTTCCACCCATTCTAAAATATCCCCCATTACATTTCCCCCCATTCTAAGCTTCTCCAAAGGCTTAATTCCTGATGGTTAGAGCTTTACACTAAAAAAGCTTGTATTTTGGATATTTTGGTAGTTCCCAACTTGCCTCTCTCCCTTTTGCCCAATAATGTAGCTTCTGAAAGTTTCCCAGAAATGGAATTCAATCTTCAGACTGAAAGAGATTCTGCATGTCTGGCCAAAGAGAACTTCATGAATTGAAACTCAAGCCAGGATATCAAAGCTCATGCTATTTGCTTTGACAGTTCCCAATTGCCACATAAGACAATGAATGTGATAGCACGGACCACATTTTGGACTGGATATTCTCTTCAAGCTGAAAGTCAACAGAAATAATCTTAAAGGTTCCCAGACAGGTTTTCGTTGGGCTAGACGACCTTCTGTTAGAAGAAAACACTGCAGTTTTCCCCATCTCTCCACTGATAGATAAGCAGAAGGAGGCAATTTCTGACAAATCCCTTCAGACAACTTTCATATGTCCTTGGTTGGTTGATAGCTGTTGTCAAATTGTTATCTGCAGATGTAGTTGGTTTTACACGCATATAGTTTCAACTCTTCTATTTGAAAAACTAGCGATAATGTTTATGAGGCAGCTGGAATTGTTGAAGCCATTCGTTCTCACCTTTAGTGATGTTATGAATCAGCCTTACCTTCTGATGGTCCTTAATAATGTGGACCGGGCCTCATTATGGAAGGTGATGATGATGCTGGTTGGTGGAAGATCTGTACGATAGTGCAACGTAGTACATCTGAATGAAGAAGGAGACAAAAAAGGTTTACATTATAGAATCTTACAGGGTGACTTTCAGTGGTTTTATTTACTATATTTATACCGCACCTTTTTCCTGCAAGGAAGCCACAGTGCTTACACAGACCTCCTCTCCATCTCCATTTATTCCCACAACCACCCTCTGAGTTGGGCTGGCGTGAGAGTCAGCGGCTAGACTGGAGTCACCTAGTGAGCTTCATAGCTGACTGCAGACTAGACCTTGGATTTTCCTGACTTCAAGGCCAACACTCTATCTCTCTGTCTATTTATATTGTGATTTATATCCTGCCTTTTTCCTATAAAGGGCTCAAGGCAGCTTACATCATCTCTCCTCCTCCATCTTATCCCCACAACAATAACCCTGTGAGGTAGGTTGGGCTGAGAGTCTGTGACTGGCCCAAAGTCACCCAGTTGGCTCCATGGCTGAGCGGGGACTAGAACCCAGATCCTCTGAGTCCCAGTCCCATGCTCTTAACCACTACACCACACTGGCTCTCTAGTCCAGCCTTCCTCAATCTGGTGGCCTTTAGAAGCATTTGGACCACAATTCCCAGAGTTCCTGTCCAGCAGAGGCATTTACTTGGAATTCTGGGTGTTGCAATCCAAATGTGTCCAGAAGGCACAAGGCTGGGGAAGGCCGTATTAACCACTATGCCAAACTGGCTCTTTCTACTACTTATTGCATTAAAATGGAAAGGGATAATTGAGCCAGTAAGTTTTGCTGCTGTTGTTTGGCCTGTCCCCAGTGCTATTTAACATCTGCAAGAAACTGCTGTGTGGGGACATCTGGAACTCTGGAATGCACTGCCATCAGTGTGTTGATGACATGTAGCTTTATTTCTCCTTTTCATTGTCAGCAGGTGAGGTTGTGGAGGTGCTAAACTGGTTCCTGGCTGTGACAATGGCCTGGGTGAGGGTTAACAAACTGAAAGTCAATCCAGACAAGACTGAGTTGCTGCTGGTGGGCAGTTCCCTTGACCGGATGGGGGATGTTCATCGTGTTCTAGATGGGGTTGCACTCCTGTGGACAGAGCAGGTTTGCAGCTTGTGGGTACTCCTTGATCCATCTTTGTCATTTGAGGGTCAAGTGGCATCAGTTGCTCAGAGTGCTTTCAACCAACTTTGGCTGGTGGCCCAGCTGATCCATACCTGGGCAGAGATCACCCCTGCTTCAGCAATCCACACTCTGCTAAATTAGATTATTGCAATGCACTCTACATGGGGCTGCCCTCGAAGATGGTTCAGAAGGTGCAGCTGCTCCAGAATGCAGCAGCCAGATCAATAAATGGGACCCAGAGGTCCAAACACATAAGGCCAGTTCTGGCCTGACTCCACCAGCAGCCTATATGCTTCTGGTTCCAATGCAAGGGGTTGTCTTAACCTATAAGCCCTACACGGCTTGGGACTGCAATACCCGTGGGAGTACTTCCCTCAGTCCCAACCTACCTGGTCACTATGCTCAACCTCTGGGGTCTTCCTTTGAATGCCAATCTCTTAAGAGGCTCAGAGAGCTGCAACTAAGGGGAGGGCCTTTTCTGTGGTGGTCCCCCATCACTGGAATGAACTCCTTGCTGTGGCCTGCCTTGCACCAAATTTGTCATCTTTTCAGTGTCAGGTCAAGACAGCCCTCTATGCAAAGGCCTTTAAAGATTGGTCAGGGGCCTTGGTCAGTTCTTGCTAGGTAATTCTACTGTAAAGCCATTTTAAATTAATTTCAACTCTTTTAACGTTGTTGCTTTATATTATTTGTATTCTGTCATATTGTTTTGTTTTATACCTTGTTGTAAACCAACTAGAGAACTTCAGCTATGGGGTGATACAGACAGGAAATAAATAAATAAAACCATTCATTCATGCACTGCATTGCTGTACCACCCATCAGAAGCAAAATTAAAGATTAAAACCATAAATTATGCATCTATAATAAAATGCAATGTAAACTGTAAAGCCAATTAAAACAGCCACAGAATAAAAAAAAAAAAAAACCAGAGTAAAACCTACATCAAAGGACAGAAGCGATATAAGGATCTAAAAAGCACTAACACTTTTTAGCCTGGGAGAATAAAAGGGTCTTTACTGGGTGCTCCCAAAGACTGCAATGTGAGTGCTGCATGAGCCTTTCTGGGATGGCATTCCACAACCAGGGCACCACCTCTGAAAATACTGCCTCTCTGGAAGCCATTCATCTTATTTGAAAAGGCCAGCCAGAGACCTTGGACTTGATGACCTGAGAGTCAAGATGAATTGAGAGTCCAGGAAGCGATAGACAAAAGGAGATGCTCTTTCAAATAACCTGCCCCCAAGTCATTCTGGACTTTAAAGATTAATACCAGCACTTTGAATTGGGTCCAGAACTGGACTGGAATCCAATGCAGATGATAGAACAGACAGGTAATCTGATAGTAACATTCACTTGCAGGTAACAGTCTTGCTGCCTTATTTTGTACTAGCTGAAGTTCTCTGTTGCTTTCAAGCGCAGTCCCATGTGCAGCTAAAGAGAGACTTCCACTTGTTCTAACCTTATTTGTACTTCCAGACTAATATACAGATCAGAACCCATTCATTCCTCTGACTGCTCTCCTCTACAGATTTCAGGATGCAGTTATTAATTCAAAGTTTTCATATAAGAAGTGTGTATATTAGGAAAAGCTGCATACAAATATGTTTACATTAGAGAAAATAAAAATGAATTAAAATTAAGTGAATTCAGTGTGTGGGCATGTGCACCTCTCTCTATGTGCATGCATGTGTGGTTTTCCATTTTCAGACTGATGCAAAAAGTGGACAGAACTGACTTATGCCTGAGTATGTGTGAAACTGACACAAACCACAGATGTATTGGTAAATTCATCCTTACATACAACACACTGATATAATCCAACCTGGAGATTACCAAAGCACTTATATATGTAGCAAGGATACCTCTGCCCATATAGAAGCATACTTGGTATTCAGCCTAAGGTGTCTTTTTTAAAGGAAAAGTTCTTCTCTACAGAGGATCACACTGAATCTCACTATATTGACCCTCATTTAGTTCATTCCCAAACCTAGTTCAGAATACCCACTGCCTCACCTGGATGGTATCAGAAGAGGGAGTAAGTCCTGCGTAGGCATTCTTCTTACTGATTGCAGGAAGAGGAGTGAAAAAGATGTGCCTTCCTCCACATCTCCACAGTATCTCCACAGCTACATGGAACTCCTTGTTCAGACTGCTGCCCACCATATGAGCCGTATGGCAGTCTGAACTGGCCAGCCTCCTATATAGATGAGGCTCCCTACACAATCCAAGATCCTGAAGAGGGACACCTCACCTCCCATGATACCAAGAAGAATGCAGTAACCAATCTATACAACTGAGTGTCATCTGCATAATAGTGACACCTCAGTCCACATTTCCAGTGGTTTCAGGTAGGCGTTAAACAGCATGGAAGATAAACTCAGCCCTGTGGAACCCCATGGCATAATTATCACAGGGCAGAGTAATAATCCCTTCTGCAATCCACAATCCAAGTAGAAATGGAGTCATTGAAACACAGTACATGCAAGCCCCAAGCTGGGCAGCTGAACCAGAAGGATACCATGTTCAAAGGTTCTGAAAGCCAATGAGACATCGAAGAGAACCAAGAAGTCTCACTTCCTCTGTCCCTCTCTTGACAAAGCCATCCCACAGGGCAACCTAGGGAGTATCTGCTCTAATAACTAAGCCTAAAGGCCAACTGAAATAGAACTAGAAATCAGTTTAGTCCTGGGACAGGGGCCCACATATGCAGCCCATTACGTTGAGTTCCTGCTCTTCTACATGTACTTCTAAGCCACGGCACTAACTGTCTTAGCCTCAGTGTAAGCTTTGGGTTAGACAAAAAGAGAGAAAAGGTGAGATGTCACCACCGTGTTAACAACCCCACACCCCCAAATCTGTACATGAACTTGCCTGTCTCATATATGCTGAAGAGAGCCGGAAACATAGAAAAAAAGCAAGTCAGGAGGGGTCTTCCAGGCCATCTAGTCTGATCCCTGGCTCCAGCTGACTCCACTTGTGTAATCCCCAACAAGGAATCCTTCAAGAAAGACTCATGAAGAATACTCTGGGATACAAGACCAGATTTCCCATGCTGCCTTCAGTTATGCTCTTGTTAAGAAAGAACAAAACTGCACACAGACAAGGCTGGGGGGTGGGGGGCGGTTGCAGTTGAGGAAGAAGCAGCAAGCTGCTGAGCACTGATCATTTTGGACCTTCCTGTGGACAGGGCTCATTCTCACAGGAAATCTTGTTGGCTGAGATTAGGCTTTTCAGAATGGCTCCAAAAATGATGGGACTATTTCTCCAGAAAGTAGATAACCTGAGTTTCTGCAATTCTCTCTCATATCTTTGCTACATTAACATCTTTGGTATGCATTTTATTGTTTAATGGCCTGATTGGGCAGGAACTCTATCTGATATAATGCATTAAAAATGTAATTTTCCTGTTCTGACAGAAATATCGAATCCTTGAGTCATAATGTAATTTCCATTTATCTCCTTGTTCCATCTTTTTGAACAAGCTATTCAGCTGGTCGATTGTTCTTTTCAAGGGACATTCTTTTCAAGAATGGCTGCACCCTCAGAATAATCTGTATAAATGGTGTATTTTCTTTCACCTTTCCATAGTTCGCTATCTTCTATCATTGAATGCTCTACTGTTGTTTGCCTACAATATCTTTCCATTTTATTTGCTGCTTGTGTTTCCGTAGTGGTGTGACTGGTATCTGTCCAAGACAGAAGGTATGACTTCCAGCCTGAATTCCCAACACTTCTTATTTTTACATTTAAAGGAATGCATTTTGTACATTTTCACTGGCGCTCGAAGTCGACAACCCATCAACTGTCTTGCGTCCAAGAAACCATATGGACAGCCTCCTTCTGTATCATCCTGCCCACTCCCTAAGTTCAAAGGTTATCTAAGGCAGAAGCATGTTTGAGTTGGATGTGATGGAGGGTCT